TCTACACTAAAACATAGCTCCCACCAATATAATTCTCCCACTTCACCAACTGAATAATTCCACTTCTGCAAGAGACATAGCACTTAAGTCGACATAGGGCTAGTCTACACTGGGGTGGGGTGGGGGGTCGATCCAAGATACGCAACTTCAGCTACGCGAATAGCATAGCTGAAGTCGAAGTATCTTGGATTGAATTACCTGGGGTCCACACGGCGCGGGATCGATGGCCGCAGCTCCCCCGTCAACTGCGCTACCGCTGCTTGCTCTGGTGGAGTTCCAGACTCGACGGTGAGCACGTTCGGGGATCGATATATCGCGTCTTAACGAGACGCGATATATCGATCCCGGATAAATCCATTGCTACCCGCCGATACGGCGGGTAGTGAAGACATACCCATAGTGAAGTTGACACAGTGTCAGCATAGAGACTGCGTTACTTACATCGCCTGTTGCTGCCTTTCAGCAACCATTCCACAGTGCCTCACACTGGCAGTTAAATCGGCGCAAGTGCTCCTGGTTAGGGTGCACACCGCTGACACAAGGAGTATAGTGTGGACATGTAAAACCGATTCAATACTGCAGTGGCTCTATGTCAACATAATTTAGGTCAACTTAATTTTGTACTGTAGACTTGCCCACAGACTTCTTCTGAAATAGCAGGTATGAAATAGAAGTGAGTTTGGTGCATGTTTGTGTAGAGACCAGCCCTTATTTGAGCTTCAAAGTTCCAGCCCCAGGCAGGTGCTTTGGAAAGGGGTCAGCTGGAGACAGCTTTTCAGTGGTGGTTCCAGAAGCACATCAGTTTGCATTGCATGTTTCTTCATAGCAGGAAAACACACTCAGCTCTAAAATGTTCTTAACAAAATGACCAGGCAACATTGCAGCCAGGATCTGCCGTGATTTCCACAGCTGGAATTTTCTTGTCTGTGACATTAAAGCTTTTTGGGTGAGTTTTGGGGAGGTTTGCCAGTGAAACAATTAGCTTCTCATTTGCCAAGTGTCCTGGAGCCTTCACCCTTGAGTGTTAGGCTTGGCAAAGAGACTATACCGGGATTTCAGTAGGCTCTGCTGAATATCTTAGGCCATCTTTACTGTAGGGATTTCTGCTGTCTGCAGCCAGCCCTTGAATTGGGGCTTGTGCTTATGCACATCCCTAGCACAGACACAGCCTTAGTAATTGACCATAGAGCATGTGGAGCGATTTTTCGTTCCCTTAACATTTTTTGCCCAAACGATGCAAATCAGTGACAGTTGATGCCAGCTTTCCTACCATAGTCAGTTGTAATATAAATAACCCTGTTCAAAAAAGGCAGGTTAAGGTTTGTCACGCTGGGAAGGACTGTTTTACCCCTCACCCGTGACTCAAACTGCTTGAAGAATTATATTCAAACTTTAAACCTGTGGGGATAGTGGGTTTTATTAATGGGATGGTTTTAAACCAGCAGCATTGTAGATATGTTATGCTGATTATTAAACCTGGCTCATACTGACAAATATACAGAGAGAACCAGTTTTAAACGAAGCCATATCTACACTACCACGTATGCCAGCAAAAGTTATGTCACTCGGGGTATGAAAAAACACACCTCTGAGTAACAGAAGTTTTGCTGGCATAAGTAGTAGTGTGCACAACACTATGTCGGCAGGAGAGCTGCTACTGCCCGCTCCTTGAGGTGGTTTTATGATGTCAATGGGAGAGCTCTCTCCTGCCAGCATAGAGCGGCTACATGAGCAGCAATCTTACAGTGGGGCAGCAGCATTGATGCAGCTGTGCCAGTGTAAGCTCGCTAGTGTAGACATGGCCTAATAACATGTCCAGCCAGGGGTTTGCACCAGCTTAACTAAATCTGTTTTCTAAAGTGCTTTATGCTAAACTGATGCAACTTCTATGTAGGCAGGGCCCAAGCCTGAGAGATTTTATCCCGAAACGTGGATGTCTGGCAAATTCAGTGCATGTTAACATGGGAACTGTCTTGCAACCTTAATTAGAGCTCTGCATGCTTTGTTGGTTCTGTAGGCCAAGCTTATAGCACACCCCAGGGCTCCTGTATCCCTCCATTCCCACCCTCCACAAACTCCCTGGGTGCCACCTTTCCATCCCCCTCTGTTTCAGAGACTCCCTGCAGCCCTCCCATGACTTCCCTCATGCCAGGCCATCTCTGACCTCCATTTCCCACATGCACACATGCCAGGGGTTGACCCCTATGCACACACCAGGATCTCCCACCACCACCAGGGGTTCTGTGTCTCCCTTTCCCCCATGCCTGAGGCTCTGTCTGCACCTCCCCCCATTCTTATTCTTTCTCCTTTTCTCTTTCAGGAGGTAAGTATTTTTAAACTCTTGGGAGGATGGGCTGGTTGGAAATAAAGGGTTTTGTGCCTTAAGCTGCTAGCTTTGCTAACCAGATACCAGGGGCACCATGTGCCATTTCTCCCCTTTTGGCTTTCTGAGTTTCACCAAAATCACTAGGCTTCTGCCCACTGATGCTTAGAACGTGCCTTGAAATTTTGGAATTGATCAGATGTGGTATTTAAAAGTTATTGCGTTGCATCCGGAGAAATGCCATTAAATGGAGTGTGATGATATCTTGTATTGCACCAACTTCTGGTGGTGAGAGACAGCAAGCTTTTGAGCCACACCCTCAGGTCTGGGAAAGGTGTCACAGCTAAATACAAGGTGTAACAGATTGTTTAGCATAGGCAGTTAGCATATATTGTAAGGGACCATTCAAGGTGGAATGACCTTGTCATAGGACAAAAAGAGGTGGGGTTGGTGGTGTTCCTCATCCACTGCACTGAATGCCCCAGTAACTGTGGGTGAAACCAGACAATTACTGCGCTGTCAAATGAACTTGCACAGGAAAGTGATAAAAGACAAAAATATCACATCACCGGTGGGTGAACACGTCTCACAGAGTGATCACTCTGTCTGACCTCTCAGTCCTCATCCTCAAAGGAAACCTGCACAATACTTTCAAAAGATGAGCCTGGGAGCTTAAATTCATAACTCTGCTACACAGACACTATGGCTGACTACACCGCGCACCTTACAACGGCACAGCTGTGCCGCTACAGCTGCACCGTTGTAAGGTTCACAGGGGCGGTAGCTTCCTCACCCGGACAGTGTTTCCTGCCAACGAAGCGCTGTCCACACCGGCGCTTTTGTTGGTGCAACTTATGTCAGTTGGGGGCAGCGGGGGCTTCAAACCCCTGACAGACAAAAGTGCTGGTATAGACAGAGCCTAAAAATCATGGACTGAACAGAGACACTGGACACTAACATCCCCCCCCACCCTTTTTTGTCCTATGACTGCAGAGGTGTTAACAGGCCACTCCACCTTGAATGGTCCCTTGGAATATGTGCTATCTATTCTAAACAATCCGTTTCACCTTGCATTTAGTTGTGAGGCTGGAAATATGTTTCCCAGACTGAAGAAGAGCTCTGTGTGGCTCCAAAGCTTCTCTTTCACCCACAGAAATTGGTCCAATAAAAGAACAAGGAGTACTTGTGGCACCTTAGAGACTAACAAAGTACTCCTCGTTCTTTTTGCTGATACAGACTAACACGGTTACCACTCTGAATCCAATAAAAGACATTCCCTCCCCCACCTTGTCTCGCTAATACCTGGGGACCAGCATGGCTATGACAACGCTGCATACATTAAATGGAATGTAAGGCCTCACAAGCTCCACCAACTCAATTGGGTGTTGCCTAGATCCCTGATCATGATTTGCTTTTTTATATATAATGCCTGTTGCCATGGCTCTGCCACCACTTTGCATATTTAAGTCTGCCAGTGCCTTTGGATGTAGGTAAGTATTAGAGCAGCCTGAAAGATGGGGTGCAAAGGCCCAGCAATTAGGTGACTTACCCAGGATCACACACCAAGTCAGAGGCAGAAGTGGGAATAAAACTCAAGTGCCCTAAATCTGTCCTTCAGATACGGGGCAAGACAACTTCTCATACTCCACAGTCCCTGATGTTTTTGTCTACTACATAGCCTTCCAAGGTGCGCTGGTATCCATTGTTCTCTGGGTATAAGAGCCTTCTCCTCTGCATCTCTTCCCATCTGGAACAGCATTCCCACGTCTCTACCTCCAGACGCCTCACGTCTGAGGCCTCATATGGAAGCATCTCATCTCTATGCCTCTTAATTTCTCTCTCCCTCAGCTGTTGTGCTAATTCCTTAGAGAGCTTTGGGAACAGGCTACATGTTTTAACACCACATTGCTCTTGCTGTACATGGTGAAGCCTTCTGTCGAAGAGTCTCAAAGCTCTTTACAAATGTGAAGATGGGGTGGGGACTCCACAGGGCTCCCCTTGTGGAGTTTCCTCCTAATTCCTCCATTAGGAGAGGGTGATTTGCCCCCCAATCATGCACACGCTGTAGATTAAAGCAAGGGGTTGGTTCCCAAACCGTATGGACACCACCTTGTCCTAGTGGTAAAGGACCATCCATATAACCCTCCTGTGCGTTTTCACTGCCTCCTACCCCCTTTTAAGAGAAGTTCCCAGCAGAGAGGGGCTCCAACAAGTATGTTACCTTTGTGTGGATTCCCTGCCAGGGTTGAGGAAACGATGCATGTTCCTCCAACCTTCCCCTCCTGTCCTGGCCTGACCCCCTTACTACACAAGAATCCCAGCTCCTGCAGAGAGCCCTAGGAGGGCTGTGGAGGTGGCTGGCCATCTCCCTTCTCCAGTGGAGTTGAGATCTGCATACAGTGTGTTTCCTGTAATGAGTTGGGGGAACAATCTGGCCCTAAATGACTCTACTTCCCAAACCACCAGTGAGATCAGTAAATGGAACAGTAACTTCATTTGACAGATGGGGAAACAAGTTAGATGAATAGCCCTGGGGGTGCCGTGAAACAGAGGGAGGAAGAGACCATAGCCTAAGCACAAGACTGGGCTCTGCCAAGAGAGACACTGCACTGTGCGGTGTTCGCCAGCAGGAGAACCCAGGTGACAAACACAAACAGTTTGACTCATTCTCTTTAAGGTGATTCCGATGACGCAGCTCCCTCTAGTTCCAGTGTCCTTTCCTCTACCCCGCCTTCTGTGTCTCCTGCTGTGAAGGAAGCTTCCCCCACCCCACCTTCCTCGCCGTCTGTCACGGGCAGCTTCTCTTCCTCCAGGTAAAGCACCTTCCGCCTCTTTTCTCTCCCTGTATTACCCAAAATACAGTAGAAATGAAATCTCTTTGTAAGGAACACTGCAGCCCTCCTTCCCCCACATGCAACTCCCATCTCCCCAGTCCTCTGTCATCCCTTTAAATTATTTTAGCCTAGGCCTTGTGGAGATTAACCCTGTTTCACTTCAGAGGAATTAACTCGTGGATACTGGGAGGGATCAGGAACTGATGGGAGGGTCATTGGGGCTTCATGAGGGTAAGGCTGGATTTTGTTTGCTGCATTTGGCTGGGAGGGGATCAGGCCGTTTGGCAGAGTGCTTGCCTGCATACATTCATCTGCAGCACTCTCTGAGGATACTCGTCTGCAGCTTTACCTCAGGTTCTGTTAGTGTCCTCAAATGGGAGTCTTGTCTTGGAGGTCTCCAGTTGGCCTGGAGACCTAATACTTCATGTCTTGGAGAATGTGTAGAAAGCAGGTATTTCTCCAAGCTTCCTGGTCTACTGCCTTTGGATTTTAGTAAAGCATTTGATACCTTCAATCTTAATTCAAGAATAATCCATGTGATCGTAACTACCGGAGCAAGGGCCATCACAAAGGATAACAGGACACCCCTGGGATCCATGTTAGGGTCTGGCCTTATTAATGTCCTGGATGGAGACGCTCCCTGTATTCGTACAGCACCTTGCACAGTCGAGCCTCTTTCTGATTGGGTCCTTGAGGTGCTGCACAATACAAAGAAATAACAATGGTCTAGAAGGAGGGAGTAAGGAGCATGTTAATGAAATTTGCAGATGACACTAAATCTGGGAGGAGCTGTGAAGACCAGTCCAATAAATAAGAGGGACCAAGGGAGATTAGAAACATGGGGAGATTAAACTTGGTTTGAAAAATGGCAGCTAACAAAACTAGGAGCCAAATAATCCAGAATACTCTGTGGGAGAGAGGAAATTGGGCGGCATAAATGCAGAAGGACCTGGGGCACGTTAATGGAGACTAAATTAAATGAGCTTTGTAGTGCAATAGGGCAGCAAAAAGCCAATGTAATTTTGGGCTGGATACACAGATCTCATCCTGAGCTGGGATGTAATAGACCCACTCAGTACAGCTGTGATGCAGCTGTGGCATCAGTCAGTTCTGCCTACTTCAGTACTAAAGATATGGAAAAAGTTGAGAGAAGAGCAACACAAATTTGAGTTATCAATAACTCAGAACCATAGGATTTTGGGATGCCAGGGAAATTCCACAAGTCTGGAAGAGTGCTAATGTTGTGTCAATATTCAAAACGGGCAAACGAGATGACCCAGATAACTATAGGTTGATTAGCCTGACATCAGTCCCAGGCAAAATAATAGAAAAGTTGATGTGCGATTCAATTGATAAAGAATTTGAGGACAGGAATGTAATTAATCCTAGTCAATGTGGTTTTATGGAAAAAAGGTCTTGTCAGACAAACCTGATTTCGTTCTTTGAGGGTACAGGGCTGGTTGATACAAATAACTGCAAAGATTTAATATACTTGGGCTTTGGTAAGGCATTTGAGGTAGTACTACGTGACATTCCAATTAACTAAATAGCACTATACAATATCAATAGAGCACATGTTAAAGGGATTGGGAACTGGCTAACAGATGTAAATGGGAATCTTCATCAAATGAGGCTGTTTCTAGTGGTGTTCCCCTGGGATCAGTAGCAGGCCCAACACTATTCAGTACACCTCTACCCCGATATAACACGAATTCGGATATAACACGGTAAAGCAGTGCTCGGGGGGGAGGGACGCTGCACACTCCAGTGGATCAAAGCAAGTTCGATATAACACGGTTTCACCTATAACGTGGTAAGATTTTTTGGCTCCCGAGGACAGCATTATATCGAGGTAGAGGTGTATTTTCATCAGTGACCTGGAAGTAAATATAAAATCACAGCTGATAAACCTTGCAGATAGCACAAAGATTGGCGGAATAGCAGAGGACGGGGCAGTGATACAGAGCAATTGGGATTGCTCTGTAAACTGGCCCCTCAAACAAAGTTATTTTAAAACAGCCAAATGCAAAGTTCTACATCTAGGTACAAGGAATAGAGGCCATAACTGTAGGGAGGATGGCATCCTGGAAAGCAGTGACCCTGAAAAAGATCTAGGGGGTCATGGTCGACAAGCAACTTCACATGACCTCATGTGACGCTGTATCAAAAATGGCTAATCCAATCCTTGGATGTATAAAGAGGCATAGTGAGTAGCAGCAGTGAGGTGATTTTGCCTCTGTATACGGCAATGGTGAGACCAGTGCTGGAATACTGCATGTCCATATTTTTAAAACGATTAACAAATTGAACCACAAAAATGATTTGACAGCTAATGAAAATGCTAAGGGCAGATGTGGTGCTTCTGCTACTGATTATGGGGAGTCTCAGTGACTATGGGCAGAATTTAGCCCTAAAAGCTTATTTTTTGTGTGTGTTCTGCTGCTTATGCACAATGGTGTTAAGTGCATTAAAAGTTACCAACTAAACATCATCTTCAAAAGTGCCAAAATGACACAGGAGCACAAATCTCATTGAAAGTCCATGGGATTTATCATTTACCTCCCTTCACCGACATTGCTTGGGAGGGGAAGCAAGCAGTAGGACAAGTCCACCTCCTCATCCAGGCTGTTTGACTTGGAAGTTCTGAGCTGTAGCGTGGCAAGTGAAGGAGGAGGCTGCCAGGAGATGAACAGGCAGAAAAGCAGGGAGGAGGAGAAGCATCTGTTGACGGCTTGCTCAGGTTTGGAGTTCAGTGTGAGTTATGGGAAGGTAGTAGGGATAGGGTGTAGGCGTGTGGCTTGACTATGACTTCAGATGCAAGAGGTGTCTTCCCCAGCACTGGGATCATTTCAGTGCAATAGCCTATCTGTGCCTCCCCAGGTAGAATGAGATTGGCTTGAGTGCAGGGCTCCCTGCTTCAGAAGCTTGTCTCTCCCGTTTCATTTTTGCCAGGCGCACATTAACTATGGAGGTGTCTCTTTAGAAGGCCATGTTTGTGTTGCTTTCTGTTTCTTCGCTCGCCAGTGGAGACAGTGGGCGTTTCCTCTGGTGGCAGGCAGTTGGCGAAGGACCAGTCAGGACCGGAGGAGATGGCACCAATATTTTCATAAGGGGGAGGCCTTGTTAGGCATCTTGAGCTGTATTCAGGCCCATCATGCAGAGGAGCTGGTCCCCTCGGCTCCCATTGACTCCAGTGGAATTTTTCAGGGCTCAGCATTTCTGAAAGTCAGGCCAGTGTCATTCACTATCTAAATCTCCACTTGGCTTCCCTGATGCTTCCAAATTTGAAAGCTTTGGCCTTTGTCTCTGTGTTCCCCAGCCCCTTCCTCCTCTCCCGGGAGAAGATGGTAAGAGCCTCGTGCTGAGGCGCCATCTCTTGTCTCAGCCACAGCTCCTGTGGCTGTCAGCACAGATGAAGTGAGCTCTCACACCCCTCTGTGGGGAAGGAAGTGGAGGAGGTACTCTGCAGGGCTCCCTCCATTCCAGACCTGAATTCTGAGTCACCTCACTTTAGTGCTGTCTCTCTAGAACCTGCTCTAGGCCTGATCCCAGGAGAGATGGCAGAGAGCTCTCTCAGGACCCCTGCTTCCTCACAGCACCCCCCTTCTAGTGCTGGGGCCATCGCCTGTATTCCCAGATGCTCCTCTCCCTTCCCTCCTCCCAAGCAGCTTCCAAAGAGGCCCCATCTTCCTCAGTTCTTCTCTGTCTCACCACCAAAGACAATTCTCCCTGTGTGACTAGTGCCTGAGCCCTGCCCCTCGTTTCCCTTCCTCTTTGGAAGCCTTGTGTCTGCTACGCAAGGAGTGTTTCTCTCACCTCTGGTATGACCCAGCCTCTGGGTCCATGAAGGAGGAGAATGCAGGTTACTCATGTGAAAGTGGGGCCCCTAAGACAAGACCACCCCGGTCCACTCTGTTAATGCTGCACCTGCAATGTGCTACTCCAGCTATAACTGCACCTTGCCCTAAACACTGCTGGGGGCTGAGCCTAGGGAGCCGGATCCTGGCAAGGTACTATGGTCCCCATGAGTCTCATGCCGAATTAGACTGAGACTTCTAGCTTTAGGATACTCCTTGGAGAGGGGAAGATAGTAGTGCTTGTCTGCCCAACGAGTTACTGCGCCAGGGTGTGAACCTACCTGCACCCTGGGACACTCAGTACGTTGTAGCCATGTCCACATGGGAGGTTACTGCGTGGCAGGCTGATGCACTGTACACTCTCACCCTGGCTTGCCGTGCAGTCGCTTTCTTTGGATAAGCCAGCTGAGGGCCTATACAGTGAGAGCAGTCAGGCACTGCTACAGGGCTAGTCTGACTCTCAATAGAGGATCCTGAACTAGAAGCGACCACCAGGGAGTTTAAAGAGAAGTCGTATCTTTAATCTGCTGCTACATGCATCTGATAGGGAGCCTGGTATCTTTGCTGGATCCCTGAGCCCAATATCTCTTGGGCCCTTTCCTCTCCTGAGGGAACCAGAAAGGACTTCATGCTGAATCTCCTTCCCTCCCCCGACCAAGGTGGAAGTTGGAAGCACTATACTCTGAAAGGAGCTGTCTCAGCATCATCTGACAGCTGCTGCCAGCCTCCTGGGTAGGTGGTGAGAGTCCGCCCAGTGACAATGGTCATCCTGGGAACAGACTTGGCGTCCATGTCTTGTGTCTGCAGACAGCCTAACTAACCTTTCTGTCCCTCAGATACCTCAGCAAGGGCTGCCATCTACTTGGTGCAGAGGCTGAGAAAATCCTGTTGCTCCATGATGGTCCTCTTTGGCTGTCTTTTCACAATGAATCTGTTCCTGTTTCTGGCTGGTCTCTGCCTTAGCCAGCCTGCTCAACCCACCTTAGAGCCTATTCCAGGAGGTCCATGGGCAGAGTGGGGAGACGCCTCTGTAGCTAGGTCTGCAGAGCAGCCATCTAGGCCCACATTTTCACCAAGCACTATTGGCTGGATCTGTCTGCATTGGGGTCTGATGAGTTTGCAGAGTGCCCCAGCTTTAAGGCCATTTTCCAAGGTGTCACCTCAGTGGGGAGTACTCCTTCCTTCCTCTTCCCAACCAGCCCCACTGCTCCTGCCACCTCAGCCTACGAGTTTCCTGCTCCCTCCCTGGGCCATTTTCAGCACTAGGGAGCCAAGCCACAAACTTTCTTCCACTGCCAACTGGGTATATGTGCTTTGCTCCCCGCGAGAACCTCCTCCCAGATAGCCCCTGGGGCTGAGGAAATGGGTGAAGTGACTCGTGTAGCATAGGCTAAGCAGATTTATCTGACGGGTTTTGGCAGCCATTGGCTGGGAAGCCTAAAGGCGCAAAGTGTCTGAAAGGAGACACGATTGGTGCCAAATCTCTTGCTCCTGATATGTTCTTCGCTGCCTGCCTGATGTCAACAGAAAGGGCCCGCACATGTGTCCGCTCTGGAGAGCCAAGCCACAGAACAACCATCCACTGGTGAAAAAGTTGAGACACTTTTCTCCACAGGGTCAGTGCATTCTGCATAGCCTTTCCTGTGATCACCTGATATGGCCACCACAGTAGACCATGTTTTATTCATTTGCTCCACCCACTGGCTATTTCTCAACCAATTAACAGACTTATCTTTCCTAACTAAGTCCCCCTGTATGCCTAAAATACCAAGCTGGAGTGAGTTTTGCACCATGTCCTGATGGCAGGCAAGGTCTGACTTTGGTAGCCCACAAGGGAAAGCGATTGTCAAGCTCAGGATTGTGTTGGGGTAGTGAACTACCAAAACAGGCAATTCTTTTTCCATGGGTTGGACTTTGTGAGCTACACAGCAGGTGTGACTCTAGCCAGACTGATTTACAGTGCAGACACCCAAAAAAGTAACTAGCTGTTCTTTCTAAAGAACAATCTGATAGTTATTCTCAGGATTGCAATTAAAACAAAGGAAAAAAAGAATTCATGAGAAGTTGCCTGATTAAATGTAATTAGTAACAGTGATTCCTGGCTCATGAGCCACGTAACGGAGCTTCTTTCACAATTGTCCTTCATGAGAAGATCCTAACCTCCTTGATCTACCCTTTGATAAGTGGCTAGTTGTTTCTGGGTGCTTACCATTCTCAGGTGCCCATTCTGAGAGACGTCCAAGGGGTCTGACTTGCCGAAGAAGCTGAGCACGCGCCCCCTGAAAATCTGGCCATTTTAAGGAATCTCAGGTTGGGTAGCCAGCATCCCTAGTCACTTGTGAAAATGTTGGGCCCTTGATTGTCTTTTTGATGGAAATCCAGTCAATCATCATGTGAAAATGATTCTTTCCTCCCATCTTTTAGCCAGAGCCTTGGTGCTGAGCTGATGGGACTGCAGGTGGATTACTGGATTGCAGCTCAGCCCATGGAGAAGAAGAGAGACCCGGAGAAGAAGGACCCTTCCACTGCCAAAAACACACTCAAATGCACTTTCCGGTCTCTCCAGGTCAGCAGGTTACCCACAAGTGGGGAGACCACCAGCACTCCAACGATGTCAATGACAGTTGTGACAAAGGAAAAGAACAAAAAGGGTAAGAGGGGGAGGGGATTCAGCTTGCTGCTCTATCGGGTATTGCTGACACGTGAAAGGTGGACGGTTGTACTTGTCTTGGCTTTCCAGGTCTGCCCAGGTTCACTGTATGATGTCTTAACAGTAGAACTTGCTCCCCAGCCCTGAAATGCCATCGTTAGGCCTGCTGGCTTGTGCCCCTAGAGGCGACCTTATTTTTGTGTTATGGGGAGTGACTCCCCGTGTTGCTGTGTTTGGTGCCAGCAAATCACACCATGTTGGGTAGGTCTCCTGATCTGCTTTTGCCCCTGTGAAATAAAAGCTGGTTGCTGTACCATGAGGTAAGCCAAGGCCACTGAATAATTGAACACACAACAAACCATGAGCCACGCAATCTCACGGGTGGACTTTGGCTGGGTTTTTGGGGTGGGGTTATTTTGGTTTTTCCTTCTCAAACCCAAGCATTCATTAAAACAATATCTTGCCCTTTCTGCTGCAGTGCCATTTCTTAAAGAACTCCATGCACTGTTGCTCCATTAGCTTTAGACTTGCAGAAAACTTTTTCTAGGCATGGGTGCAAAAATTTTGCCATAATGGATCTGTCTGTGGTCTAAAGATGGCTAATACTTGACATTTAAGATGAAGATATCCCTCATGCACCTAGCCAGCTATACAATTGTGATTATTGCCGGGCATCAGTTGAAGGCCTGAAGCACAAGATTGAATTGCTCTGTTCATTATTGCAGGTACAGATGTATTAATGGTCATGCAACTATCCAGCCCTTGTGTTGGACTCAGTATCATCCTGTACCCTTGTTAGACGATTTCACAGCAGTGAGAACAGAGACTGTACCCTTACAGCTGGTTTACACAGGGAATCTATTGTGAAATAATATACGGTGTGAATTTAAAGCGATGGATTAATTGGAAGTGGATTAAGTTAAAGGCACTCTTGGTGTACTATATGAGCATCCACCCAAGGAGCTAGTGCGGAATAGTCATTCAGGGCTGTTTCCTCATCTAGACAAGCCTTTGGATTCCTACTATCCGTTTGTTGGGAGAAAGGGTTGGAGGCAAAGGAGGATGGGGAGGTGGTGGTCATAGGGCAAGGTATGGTTAGTGGAGAGAAGGTGAGAATGGGAAGGTGTGAGAAGAATGTGGAGAAGAGAAGGGTGGGGCTGGATAAGAGGGTACAGCAGTTGTGCTGCTAGTATTCAAGTGAGAGTATGTCACAGCGCCCCCCCCCCCCCCTCCCCCATTGAGGGTGTTCTCACACCTGCAGGCTTCAGTCCAATCTTCTCTCATAAGGACCTGCTTGCTGGAAACTCACCACCAAAATGTGCTGCCTCTGGGTGGGAGGAGCAGCGCAGAGAACTTGCTACAGTTCTTGGGTCTTCTGATCCTCTCTTCCTTTTTAACTTTGCAACTCCCCTGTCTCCCAGTACGATGCTACCAGCCAGCCCATGTTCCTTCCAGTTGTTACAAGGCCTCTGCCTACCTCCCCGCATTTCCCAGCTCAACGCAGAACATACCTATCCCCCACTCAGACAAGGACCAGGCAACCAGGAAGGTCCATGGAGGTGCCAGGTCTCCCAGTTCCCTCATTCCTAGAGCAGAGAGCTCTGGCAGGCAGCTGGCCACCTGAGTGCCGAAGCCCTGGTGACATGGGCTCGTCCATCGCTTCCCCTTGGACAAGGAGGGACCATAGCATGACTGTGCCTGTGAGAATGAGTCTGAGGAGGAGAGCAATATGCTCATTCCCAGCAGAGTGAGTCAGAACAGCCTCAGTGCAACCTTCCACAAAACTTGGAGAATCCTCTAGCAAATGTGAGAGGTTCACTACTTCCCTAGAGGAGCAACCAGGAGTGGGTCCATTCCTGAACAAGTGCTATGTTCTGAGTGTCCATTCACAAATGGAAGCCAGGGACAGCATGGGCTGGCTGGACTCGTGGCACTGAGGACTGACTTCCCAGACACGTCCCCCCATGCTGAGGATGGCACGCTATCAGATCAGACATCACCACCTTGGTAGACTCTAAACAGCAAGGGGAGACAAGCAGGGTACTGATGGAGGCCACCCAACCCCTCCACTGGAAGGAAACCTGCCCATGTGTGGGTACAGAGCCCCATGGCAGACTGGCTCAGCAGCAGAGATGGACCGACCCAAATGAAGAGTAGATTAAGGGGTGCTCAGCTGGGTGGTGTACCTCAGGGGAGTAGCAGTGGGAGAACTCTGGGTAGGCACCATCTCTTCCCTGAAGAAATGTGGTGCCAAGATGCCAAAGCATGCAGCCCTTCCCACCCCAGAGGGGGCTGGCAAGCAGGTCACAGCAGCCTGCAGAGAGCTGGGTCCTGTTTCAAACAACAAAGAGACTCATCCTCCTCCATCTCTTCACTGGCCCCTCAGGAGACAGCCACACAGGACAGAAATCAAATCCAGCCAAAAGTCAGAAGGAAGCGCACATCCCTTCTTCCTTCCCAGGTGGGTCCCTGTGTGCTGTTGACTTGCCCGGGGGGGGGGGGGGGGAGATGAGTCAAAACATGAGGAATCTGATGTGTACCCTCCATCCCCGAGCACTTACCCCTATGCCTCAGAGGGCAGTTGCAGCCCTGGGACTCCAGGCGGAGAGGAAGAGACACAACCTGTGTCTGAGAGAGATTTCCCCCACCACTCCCCAAAGGGCATGGCGTGCTGCTGAACATGGCTGCAGAAAAGATCATTCAGGCTGAAGCATCCCCATATGGGGCACTGTTGAGTAAACCACTCGCCATACCTCACAGATCATCGTGGTGATTCACTTCTGACATGACTGCGGTAGAGGGAGGGGTCTCTTTCCCCTAGGGCTTGAAAGTAGAGGATGCCCTCGGACTGTCTCATTGGCACTCCAGGCTTCATGGGCCTCTATCTCTCACTCCAGGACAATCTGTTATGGCACGGGCACCAAGAGGATTGGCCTCCAAATGTCATCAACAGTCTCTGATCACTCAATGTCCCTGCCACGTCTTTCACTACAGACATATCAGCAGGCACCATCAGACAGCCCAACGAGGGCAATGGCAGCTCATCTGTTTTCAGGCACAGCCTGGGGCTACATATGTGGTCTGGAGATCTGGCTCAGCAGCTTCTGGGTTTAGCGGAGACCCACTGCTCCCTAAAAAAAAAATTGGGAATGCAGTTATGCACTGCAGAGGAAAAGATGCCCCACAACCTTTTCTCCAGCTCCAAAAATAATTTGGACAACTCATATAATTGACCATGGATCCCCCCTTCACCAGTCCCCCAGAAGGGACTGGAGGAAACCTCACTTTCAGCAGAGGATAAAAAGTATGACAGGATGTCAACGCCTCCTTGCCCTCTTCCAGGCAACACCAACATTGCCCAAGGAGGAACAGAGACAAGCAATTGGTGGCAGGCCCACCATCTTCAACACCAGGAGAGAACACGCCTTACGAGATGAGTGGGTACTGAAAACTGTCCTTATACAACACCCCCTGGAACTGACACCAACGTAACCTCAAGATTCACTCTGTCTCTGACGTACAGGGACAGCAGACCCTTTCTCCGAAGAGTTCTCAGGGACAGTATTCCATCTTAATCATCCACAAGCAATCGGAGGGTCTGTGGGCAGTACTGGGCCAGAAATACTCTCATAGCATACAAAGTGCACAGTGTTCCACATGGTGATGTAGCATGCCATAGCAGCAGGAATGCTGCCCAGGAAATTCAGGGCATCAGGAGACCTGACCAAAGCACCTGCCAGAGATTCCTGTGCTGCATTTGTGATGGAGCGAAGCTCTCCTTTTCTTCCAGTCTTCACAAAATATGGAGATCCTTGTGGGACAGCTCCAGGCCAGGGGGCATGCATTTGTTTCCCTAAAGATCCTGCCAGCTCACTTGGGAGAGTTATTTAGGTATGAGTAGAGGCATGATTCAGAAAGGTGGGAGGAGACCTGGTCATTCATACAGACAGCAAAAGACTGGGCAGTGCACAGTCTCCCCAGACTGTTAGGTTGATAGTCAGCTGCTTGGAGATCTTCCATAGGTGTGAGGGACTTAGATTCAGGATGGATCACTAGGACCCGTCACACTCAAACATGTTCGCCCTGCAGCAAAAACTAGACAAGGAGATCCTATTTCAGGAATCCTGATGTGAGCCTGCTGCAATGGTCCCCTGCCAAGAGTGCTACTGCGGATTGGGGTCTAGAGGCATCAGGGACTCCGATTGCGCCAGGGAGGATGTGGATGTTGGAAATAACGGGAACAAGAACATGGCCCAGTGAAACTACTGACTCAGCTGAGGATTGATCACACATCTCCATCCTTCCAAGCTAAACCATACAGCAAAGATCAATGTGCAAGGGATACTGACAAAAGGCTATCGGTGCCTATTAAAAGGCTGTTAGCCTCAAGAATGCAGTCAGCCACGGCAGTATGCTCCCATACATACGGATCTACTTCAGCTACCGGTGTAAGGGGGGAGGAAGGGCTCAGTGTTTATCACTAGGATCCTCTCAGCTCCCTGACCGAGTACAGGCTGCAGAGATGAGCTCTGACCCAGATTAATCAGACCTGCAGGTTTCAAAGAGCTGCCATCATCCTTGGGAAGCCTCCAGTTCACATGTGCCCCACCTAAAGTTTAAACTCCGTTCTCCAAGTATGACCAGAACCACCTTTCCAACCTAGGAGCTCAGTCTTCCCCCTAAAAAGAACAGGAGTACTTGTGGCACCTTAGAGACTAACAAATTTATTAGAGCATAAGCTTTCGTGGGCTACAACCCACTTCTTAACACGGCTGCTACTCTGAAACCAGTCTTCCCCCTGTTCCTTGTAAGGCTGTAAACACAGGAATATTTCAAAAAGGAGAAGGATTGGTGGGGAGCTTAACAATGTTTGAAGTTTAGGTGTTGGGGGGGGGGGCAAATACTGGAAAGCCAGGAAATTACACTTTCTGGGAAACCTGTTACCAGTGAGAGGCACTTCTAGAATTCCTTTTCCTTCAGGAGTCTTCTACAACAGCTCCCCACTGGCCCCGTGCATGGACCTGAAAAAATTCTCCAAGAGCTGGGGAGATAGCAACTGCCATATTGCAATGGACTGTGATCACATCAAATCTCCAGCGCTTAGTCGAATTGTGCTATCAGCACTTGGTTTGAAAATGGGCTGTGTTGCAGCAAATGGCTTTGGCTATTCAATAGCTGGTAACTTTTTCTCTCGAGGGGATCTACTCTTGCAATGAACTCTGCATGGGTGCCCCATTGCAGTGTTGGGCCAGAGTTCATGCTGAGCAGATGCCACATCACTCAGACTGGGGTGTCAGTGGTGCAGGAAGTGCCATCCTCCAGATCAGACAGGAACTGCAAGGTCTGTCCAAGTTTTCAGTGCCTTGTGACATGGTATGTTCTGTCTGGGGACCTGAGGCTGTGCTAAGATGACACCTAATAAGCTCCTATATGGAGTTTGCCCAGGCTGGATTCAAGGGTGTTCATCCCCAGTTTGGAGCAATTCTCCTGGAGCCACCTTCTCCCTTTCAGATTGTTAATTCAGATGGATCCTGAGACCTTGGTACCTTTTTCAGAAGGGCTTCCTAACCTTTCCCATCCCCGGCCAGTTCCTTTTTTTGCAGGAGCTCCCTTATCTCAGGTGTCCCTTTGAGCAGCTGTTGACCTGGTGTTTATGTAGTGAATATGCACTAGTTGCCACATTCAACTGGAAGTGAGCTTTCTGCCCTAGAAACTTTTTGCAATAAGAAGAATCTCCATGGGAGCGTAGTAGATTTTATATCATTTGAGCCAACCACCGAAGCTCGCAGTGCACAAGGGTGGAGCTTTATCTTAATAGACTGGATATTTTCCCAGCAGGGGAATTGCCCCAGGGGGATGAAGGGGAGGCTTATAGCAATGAAGACTTTCAGAGGCAATATGAATTGCTTTGGGGCTCTAATAATGCCCAATTAATAGGGCCCAGTAAGGTGGCGATGCTTGGTAAGTAATTCTGTGAACTGGAAATGTTAATAAGCATGGGCATGTTTGGTTTGGTTTTCTTCTAGTGATGTTTTTGCCCAAGAAAACAAAAGACAAGGAGATTGAGTCTAAGAGTCAATGCATTGAAGGAATTAGTAGATTGATTTGCACAGCAAAACATCAGCAGAATATGCTGCGGGGTAAGTGCTGAATTATTGCATCATTTCTGATAGTAATGGGAAGCATTTTATTGCTAATTATGGCTCTAGTGCCTGTAAGCCAGCCATCTCAGTGCTTGACCAGGACGTGCTAGTCTGTGACACAAAGCAGACTTGAACCTCATGGATTTGGCTGCAGGAGGATTCTGCCATCATGGGGAAATCCACAGATGGCATAGAGCCAGCCAGCCACTAAACCTTAGGTTCTCAAGCTGGGAGTTACAAACAGGTCTCAGGGGCACAACAACCCTCTTTTTCCTTTGTAGCTAGGTGGGAGAGGAGTCCCAGAAGTTTTATGTTGTAACATGGGTTCACTGTTGGGAAAAGGTTGAGAAACACTGTTCTAAACTCTTCTGGGTTATAGGTGTTGATTATGGAACAAACCAGTGGTCCATCTTGTTTGCTCTGGTTGTGGCCTCTACCTGATGCTTGAGAGGAAGAGGAGGATTTCTCCATAATGCATGCAGCCAGTCGACAATAATTTCCCACTGTTGAGGGTGGGCAGGGAGATGACTGGCATCTTTCCCAACCCAGCTGCTGAGCCATTTTCATTTGATCTTTAGGGCAGCAGAAGAATTGACTGGGCCTTCTTCCTAATTTTTCTACTATCTAGGTGTCAATGCAGCATCTGTTTCCTGTACTGACTGAGGAAGGATGATGTGATGGCATAGAATTCAGGCATAGGGATTCTCCAGTGTGACTGTCTTGCTGGGTGCTTTTTGACATGCTTCCTTGTTCTATTCTTCCCCTGCAGTCCTAATTGATGGCGTAGAGTGGAACGATGTGAAGTTCTTTCAGCTGGCAGCACAGTGGTCCTCCCATGTCAAGCACTTTCCCATCTGCATATTCGGACACTCCAAACCTAACTTCTAACCACTTTCAGCGGGGCAGCTTTCTGCCTGTATGGAGACTGCACACGCAGGAACCAGGAATCTGAGTGCCAACTCTGACTCAAGTCTGCTTGCTCTCTCCTGCAGATTACTTACAGATGCGTCTGGATTACTTCTGAATTACTTTTTTCTATTAATTCTTAAGTTTACTACAAGGGAAGGAAATCCATTGAACAAAGCAAAAAACAGTCTTAAGCAGAAATGTACCAATAACATGGAAATTACCGGGAGAACCTCCAGAAGTGGGGTGACCTGCCGGAGAACTTAAGAGCAGATAGCTGGATAACTGCACTGCTTATTAACCTGAAACCTCCTGGGTGTGTTTGTGGCTGGGTGTTCTGGATTGGGCTTGAATGGTTTTTGAGGGGAGAGTGGGAGGTACTGAGAGAATGAATTGTTTTAAAATGTTTAACTCTGCGCCGCCCCCCCCCCCCCCCCCCCCCCCGACTTCTCATGAAGAAAGTAGAGCCTGGTTCATCACCAGATAGTTCAGGTACCAAGAATGTGAAATACATTGCGCTGTCTGCCAAAAACCAAGCTAATAACTGAGGGAAACCCCAGGATTCTCCACAGGTGAAGAAACGCCAGAGGGTCATTGTTTTAAGGCCAGCTATTGAAATGGGCAGGCATGTTCACTCTCGTGCCTGATTCAGGTTGGGCAGAGACTGAAATACAAAGTATGAAATGTCTGTTTGAGGAATCCCATTGCTCCAAGTCCATCCCAATAACCCAACCAAGCCAGTCACAACACCCCCTGCAGCCCGGAGCTGGATTTGAAGGACACCAGTTCAGTGGGGTTGTTGCTATTTAGATTTTCACACAGATTATGGACATCAATAAAACCTTGCCCGGCCTCTCAAGAGAATGGATTTTTACAGGTGCAGATTTTTTTTTTAATGCTTTTAGAAAAGATTAAGTTGCTAAAAAAGATAACAGGAAAGATGAGCTGCTGTCTAATGAGTCAGGCATTAATGTACTGGCTAGTTCCTGTGCCCCTTGGGCCCATACACATGAGCAGCTGCATTTTATACCAGCTACGTTCACACCCACACAGCAAAAGCACATGTGCATGTGAAAGCACATACAATACCAGCTCGCAGCAAATGCGCCACCTGCATACATCATCCTGAATGTGCCCTCTCTTCTAGGCAGTGTGTACAGGGTTCCCCCCTCACACTCCAAATGGGAATCCCTTGTTTGGGGGCCCCCTCCAGCCATGTGAGCTGCTGCTGCTGCTGTTTCCAAGGCAGGAGGCCATGTAGCAAAGCCAGCTCTGACAGCAAAGGCAGAGAACTTCGGCTTGTCTGGACTGCGTTGGAATGCCTCATGCACGGATTGTGTCATCTGAGGGTTCTCTCAGCTATTCTAGTTCTTTGACTCCAGCAGTGCACCTGTATTGCACAATGCACCGTTAGCCAGCTGGGCCACGTGCCGGCTTAGGATCCATCCTCCAAGGGGCCTGCCATGGAAAATGAGGGTGGAGGAGTCACTCAGTGCCCCTGTACTTCCTGTGGGCTTCTCTCCATGGGAAAGAAGCTACTCCAGCAGGATACAAGCTTGCAGCTAGCAGAACCCACCATTCAGGGATTAAGGATTTACTGTGCAAAACCAACCAGTGCCTGTGTGAAATGCACTGGCCACTATAGCCCTGACCTTGAGCACTACTGCAGCTCATGAGTGGGAAACTGTAAGCTATGAATGTTCTCCCTTCCCCCTCCCCTAAAATATCACAGTGCCAGCCCATTCCCAGGGTATACTAAAGCCAGGGCTGGCTCCAGGCACCAGCCCAGCAAGCAGGTGCTTGGGGCGGCCAAGGGGAAGGGGCGGCACGTTGGGCTGTTCGGCGGCGGGTCCCTGCGAAGAAGAAAGTGGCGCGGTGGAGCTGCCGCTGGAGTGCCGCCGATCGCAATTGCGACTGCGGCTTTTTTTTTTTTTTCTCTGCCGCTTGGGGCAGCAAAAACCGTGGAGCCGGTCCTGACTAAAGCAGCCTGAAGGTTGCTCTGATTTACAATGTCAGTAGCCCTACAGGGCTGCGTCAGCAGCAGGGGATCTCTGGAGCCAAAGGAGGCTCAGCTACAGCTTTCCCCCTGGCTCCCACTCACATTGGTAGCTGGGTCTGTGGGTGGTGTAGGAGCTACTGCAGCAACTCTCCTCGCTGGGAATCCTGCCCTGGCTTTAGGACGGAGCTTTGCTCTGCTGAAGGGGCATCAAGGTGCTCTAACTGGAGGAACAAGGCTCTGATCCTTCTCACCACAGGCTTAATCTGGTTTAGCTCCCTGGAGTTGAGTGAAGCCCTCCTGTACCAGGCATGCTGCACACTACACTTCTGGCAGCCGCATGTGGACTGAAATTCCCAGGGGTGGAGCCTTTGCCCAGAAATCCTCCCCCATCAACCCTGCAAGGAATCACACTACAGCAAAGCCTAACAGCTTTAGTTATCTGTAACCCTGCTCTACTCCTCCAGGGGGTCCCAGGGCTGGATCTGTGGGGCTCCCCTGGCAATACAGCTCCAGGGAGGAGCCTCCATGCAGATGTTCCAAACCCAGTGGCTGAGGAGCTAGAGCTTGTTTGCTTTGCAGAAGAGCCAACACCCCACCTTGGAATGAGCAGGGTGCAGCTGCATAAGGGGAGCTTCCTGGGGGTTCCAGTCTCATGGGCAGGCATTTGCACTGCTCAGGCCCATTTTCAGAGACCCCCAGAGTGGCTCCTTCTCCCGCCCTCTCAAAGGGACAGCAATACGTTAAGCATTTTTCAGAGTCCAAATGTTCTGGGATAGTGACTGACTGAACGAAGATTTGCAAATGGCTGTGGAGCCTGTTCCACCTTGTGTGTGGGTCACGCCCTGGGAAGGCGCGTCCTGCAGGAGGGGTTTCATTGACTTGGGCAGGACTTCAGTGGGCACTGGGGGTGTGTTCAGCTAATTGCCCTGCTGAAGGAGTGAGGGTGATTGTGGCCCTAAAGAGAACAGTGCCTCTCTTCCCCTTCACAGTAAAGAGGAGTATCTGCAGAGCAAACAGTACATGCACCTTCTCCTCACTGCTCAGGCTACTGGTTTAGATGCGTGTTTAATAAGAGAGAAACTTTCTAGTGTGATTTCAGCCATGTCCAGGAATCAACTCTCATCAGACTCGCAGGGTCCTCAGCAGCCCAGCAATGCACTCCTGTGAGGAGTCGGGCAGGTCAGCGCACAGATCCACACGCGAACGCTGATGCAGCTGGTGGGGGGTTACTGTAAACTATTCACTTGCTTATGGCAGCCCTGAGGAGAGGGTAGGTTTCCCTTTAACGCTTTGTAACAGGGGCAGAAAGAATCTCTAGCTTCAGCATAGTGGTGGCTGGCGCTTAAGAACTTGCAAGGAGGCTTGCGCCTTGCTCTGGGATAGCGCAGCATTGCCTGGCAGCCACAGCTTAGGAATGAGCACACGAGCACATCAGTGCTCTTTATTGAAGCTGTTGCCTCAGGACAAGCCTTTTAATGAAGTCAGCAGTTCAGGTTCTTCCTTAAATCCCTCTTCCCTGTGCAAGTAGAGTGACTGAAATCCAGTCTGATTTCAGTCCCACAGCTTATTCTACACCAGCACTGACAGAGATCCTTGCCTGACTGACTTTCATGGCCCCTGCAGTGCTGGAGAAGGCTTGGACTGGCTATATGCAAATACTTTGTTTACCGGGGCAGTGAAGGATTTGACGCTTTGCTCCTCTTTGTATTTCAACCTACTGTAGAGAGACAAACTGTAGCCAGTATGGGACTTCATGGCTCCTGCTTGTCAAATGTATGTTGCCCCCTTTCTTCTTACCATGTGTAACGTTTCATGTGGGTTAGTTCTTTATTTTAACTACATTTTATGAAATCTAATTCACCAGGAAACTTTCTGCGGGCTTGGTACCCAAGCACTTGCAGACAGAGTTTGTTTCCTCTGGCAAGCTGCTATTTGGCAGCACAGCCATCTGCAGTGGGCTCTCTGCGGTAGCAAGGCTTCCAAGGAAACTCTCCTTGAATCTTCAGGCTGGAGTTTGCCAGGTGGCAGGACTGCACTGATCTTGGGAAAGCTTCATTCTTGGTGGTTCATCATGGGGCTGCCCTGACTCCTAGCCAACAGTTGGAGTTAGATTCCCTGGGCTTTTCCTGGGAATGTTTGTTAATGTTTTATACAGTGGTTACTTTCTCTGAGCTTCTTCACACAACTAACTTCATCTCTGACCACTGGGAAAACATTCTGGAAGTCTGAGAGCCAAAGCTCTGCCATAACCAAGTATTACAGCAATTGAGCTGTGCAGACAATGGGCTGCTTCATAGGAAATGATTTTGATAAAGCAGTGGCAGGAGCCTCCTCCCAGGGTGAGCTGAGCTGAGCTCGGGTCTCCCACTTGGTGCTCTCCAACCAACCACCAATTCCAGGGTTCAGGAAGTCATTCTGAAGAACTGGTCTGTGTGCCAGCTTGCTGTGACTATACCATTGTACACTCTGGGGCAGAGCTGACCAATGGGGAGAGGTGCCAGTTCTTGTGCCTGAAAAGGGGCCATCAGGATATTGGGGGGCTGCTTAATTGCCTTTGCCGTGATGAGTGCAGAAGACTGACCCTAATGGAGCAAGAAACCCAGCACAGTCCCAGTTTTAAAACTCTTTATGGAATAATGAAAAGAGACCTCCACGGGCCTCCACCAGAGTGTGACTCAAAGAAGGAAACTCATTTGCTTTATCTCATTCGCCTGAATCAGCCTGCTTTAACTGGAAATCTAGACGTTGCTTTTACTTCGGCCTCTGGATTTCTAGCAATGAACAGGCAGAGGGGTGGGGACAGAGCTGACTGCCTAGTTTTCGGCTGGTTGCATGCCACCTCGTCACCTGTAAACCCTCCCCCCCCTTCCCTGCAGGAGGCCAGGAGACTGCAGCAATCCCAACGCAGGTGGGAATGTACTGTAGTAGCAGATCCGTTTGATTCCCATTACACACTGATCCAGGCCCCGATACTGACTGACTGCTCCATGGAGCCCCAAACTGCGACTCCAGCACTTTCCTATTGGCAAAGCTGATGTTCCCCTGTACTGGTGTTCTCTTGGGAAACTGGCCCCAGCCCTTCCTTGGAGGTGGGATCTAAGGAGACATCCTTAGTATGCTGGCCAAGAACTGGAGCTCTAGTTCTACACTTCCATGGCTAAATGAAATGCAGAAGTCCACCATGGCAAGCCAGGGAATATCCTTACCCGTATTGAATGCTTGCTGGGCTTTCATTTGTTTTTCTTTGCCCTAAAGAAAACAGCTGCTGGAGCAGCAGTATTCACTTAACCTCTGGCTTTCCATTAATTTCACCTGCAGTTATCAATTGCATATAATCCAATCACATTTTTCTGATCAACCCAACAATAGCCCCATTGAGCTGTTTATATCTCAAATTTAAGTATAAAATTCCTCTGTTACCTTAGTTTGAGGATA